GGATGGGGGCTGAGGGGGGGGGGCTCAGAGGCCTGGGTAGCCCCATAGATGAGGGCTGGGAGGGCCTAGGGGCCTGGGTGGCCCCTAACATGTGTGTGGGGGGGGGGGCTCAGGGGTCTTTTAGGCTCTGGTTGACCGCAGAGATTGGGCCTAAAGGTCCCTTGGGGAGCTGGATAGCCCCACAGATAAGAGCTGGGAGGGTTTAGGGCCTCCTTGAGGCCTGGGTAGCCCCACGGATTAAGGCTGGGGGGGCCTCAGGGGCCTGTACTGATCCACAGATGGGCACTGGGGGGGGCGGGGCTCGGGGTCCCTTTGGGGCCTGGATGGCCCCGCAGATTGGTGTTGGGGGTCTCAGGTCTCTTGAGGGAAACAGGTAGCTTTACAGGTTGGGGTTGGGGACTCACAGGGCCTTCCCAGGGCTTGGTCGGCCCTTTAAATGAAGGCTGGGGTCCCCAGGATCTCCCCGGGGCCTGTGCAGCCCCACAGGTTGGCACTGGGGGTCTCAAGGGGCCTGGGCAAGCCCATAGATAGGGGTTGGGGGTGGCAGGGTCTCCCTAGGGCTGAGGACAGTGCTGGAGGGGGGAGTGGGGCACAGGCAGGGGGGCTGGGTATGAAAGGGCCCCCCGGGGCTGGAGGAGTGCAAGGAGGCCCCACAGAGAGGGTTTGGGGGTAATGGGGCCTTTTTGGGGCTGAAGCTAAATATGACAGAGTGCATCAGTTCAGTGAGGGGGGGCGGGGGGGACAGGGCCTCCCTGGAGTTGTGGGGGTGTGAGGCAGTCCCGGGGGGGGGCATTTTGGGATGACAGGGCCTCCCTGGAGCAGTGAGAATGCAAGGGGATCCCATGTAGGAGTTTTGGGGGTGGCAGAGCATCTCTATAGCTGGGGGGCAGGGGTGTCCAGCCCCCCTCACCCTCGTGTCACTGCCTCCCCGCAGTCTCCAAAGGAGCCCGAGCAGCTCCGCAAGCTATTCATCGGCGGCCTCAGCTTCGAAACCACAGACGAGAGCCTCCGCAGCCACTTCGAGCAATGGGGCACCCTGACCGACTGTGTGGTAAGACCCTCCAACCCCCCACTGTGGGTTCCGCCTCCTCCCTGGCATTCCCTCTGCCCCCAGCACCTCTGTGGGGGGGTGGGTGACAAGCGTCAGCCCTCAGTGACCCACAGTGTCAGGGTTCGAGGTGTAACGGGGTGGGTAATGAGGAGACCAGCTGCGAAGGCACGAGCAAGAGGTGGAGGAGCTGAAGGAAAGGAGCCACGTCCCAAGGGAGGGGGACTGCTGCTGTTTAGGGGGACTCCATGCCACGGCCTGATGTGTGTCTGTCCTTCCAGGTGATGAGGGACCCAAACACCAAACGTTCACGAGGCTTCGGCTTCGTCACATACTCCTCGGTGGAAGAGGTCGATGCCGCCATGAACGCCCGGCCACACAAAGTGGACGGCAGAGTTGTTGAACCAAAGAGGGCCGTGTCCAGAGAGGTAAGGAGGAGCCTTGACCGTCCCTGAGAGGTCGGGGAGGGGTTCAGACCCCTCTGGATGGGGCTGGCAGAGCCCAGGGCTGGTTTTGGTGGAGATGGGGGGCTCCCCCGACCCCAAACCCATGCCACTGTATTCCCACAGGACTCCCAGCGGCCCGGAGCCCACCTCACAGTCAAGAAGATCTTTGTGGGCGGCATCAAGGAGGACACGGAGGAGCATCACTTGAGGGACTATTTTGGTCAATATGGCAAAATCGAAGTCATCGAGATCATGACGGACCGCGGCAGCGGCAAGAAGAGGGGCTTCGCCTTCGTCACCTTCGACGACCACGACTCCGTCGACAAGATAGTCAGTAAGTCTGGCGTGTGCCGAAAGGGAGGGGGACACCTGGCTTTGTGCCCCCCTCCCCTAAATCTCCCCCCCTTCCCTCCCCGCAGTTCAGAAATACCACACTGTGAACGGGCACAACTGCGAGGTGAGGAAAGCCCTCTCGAAGCAGGAGATGGCCAGCGCTTCAGCCAGCCAGAGAGGTGAGCACACGGCTTGGCCCCCAGCTCCCCCCCTGCCCCGAGCTGCCGCTAGACCCCGCTGCCTGTGCTGTTCCTAAAGGCTGTCCCCCCCCTCCGCCCCCTCTCCTAGGCCGCAGCGGTTCCGGGAATTTTGGCGGCGGCCGCGGAGGCGGATTCGGCGGTAACGACAACTTCAGTCGTGGCGGCAACTTCGGCGGCCGTGGTAAGTGGTTCGGCGGGACCCGTCCGGCTGCCAGCCGCAAGGGACGCCGCCGGCTCGAGACGCAGCTCAAAACCTAGCCCAAACGCCACCGCCGCTCCGGCTGCCACCGCTCCGGCTCCCGGCCCCCCTCGGCCCGGCCAGAGCGCCGCTCCTCCTCCCTCCACGCCGGGATTTCGGCACCCCGAACTTTTCTCTCCGGCAGCTCTAAACCGCCCGGCCCCGCGTGGACGGATTGAACCACAACGGTTTGTTCTTTTCAGGTGGGTTTGGTGGCAGCCGCGGTGGCGGTTATGGCGGCGGCGGAGACGGCTATAATGGATTTGGCAATGACGGTAAGGCCAGAGCGGGATTTCTCCGACGGGCAGCGGCCAACGCGCCCAGCCGCTCGCCGAGGACGCCAGCCGGCCCCGTGGCCCGGCCCAGACAGCGGACGCAGCCCACCGCCCTGCCGAACCCGGAGCCCGGCCCCCACGCGCCCGCCGGGGCGGCCCTCGGAGCTCAGCGCCCTCCTTCCTCTCCCCCAGGTTACGGCGGCAGCGGCCCCGGCTATTCCGGCGGCAACCGGGGCTACGGCGGCAGCAGCACCTACGACGGCTATAATAACGGCGGGGGGGGCTTCGGCGGCGGCAGCGGAGGACGGCGTCCCGCCCGGGGACCCGCGCTTGCCGTGCGGAATGGCCTTTCTGAAGCGGGCACAGGTGAGACCCCTCCAGCCCCCTAAATCCCCTCTTGGCCGTGGGGTGCCTCCGGCCTCCCAGTTAACCCCTCCTCCAGGCCTCTGGGCTCCCCATTGAACCCCACTCTGACAGTGGGGTGCCTCCAGACTCCCAATTAAACACCCTCCTCGTGCCCCTGGGTGCCTCCGGGCTCCCCATTAAACCACCCCAAGCCATGGGGTGCCTCTGGGCTCTCTGTTAAACACCCCCCTGGCCTCGGGGCTCTCTTAAATCCTCTTCTTGGCCGTTGGGGATCTCCTGGCTCCCCATTAGACACCCCCCAGCCACGGGGAACCCCCAGGCTCCCCCTTAAATCACCCCAAGGCAATGGGGTGCCTCCAGGCTCCCTGTTAAATTCCACACCCCAGCCATGGGTGCCTCCAGGCTCCCCATTAAACCCTCCCCCAGTTCCTCGGGTGCCTCCAGGCCCCCAGTTAAACTCCCCTCTAGTTGTGGGGTGCTTCTGGGCTCCCCATTAACCCCCCCTCCAAATTCCTCTGGTGTCTCCAGCCTCCCCATTAACCCCCCCTTGCCTGTGGGCTCCCAGTTAAACACTCCTCTGGCCACCGGGTGCCTCCAGGCTCCCCATTAACCCCCCCACAAGTACCCAAGTGCTTTCAGGCTCCCTGTTAAACACCCTGCTGGCCTCTGGGCTCCCCATTAACCCCCCCCAGCCACAGGGTACCTCTGGGCTCCCCATTGAACCCCCCTGAGCACCTCCCCCTTCCCCACACTGACCCCGTATCCCTCTTCTTTTCTCCCCTCCTCCCCAGGCAGCAACTTTGGCGGCGGGGGGAACTACAACGACTTCGGCAGTTACAACAACCAGTCGTCCAATTTCGGCCCCATGAAGGGGGGCAACTTCGGGGGCAGGAGCTCGGGGCCGTACGGCGGCGGTGAGTCCCTGGCAGGGGGGGGGGTTTTGGTGCAGGCCCCA